ATATAAAGAGCGTGTTCTGGGCTCTCCGTGGACATAAAAAATATCGGTGTAACCCAAGTAGATCGCCAGTAATTAATTGTCAAAGTTCGTCAACAATTGACCGAGGAGGCGTTTTTGACATTTTTACAGAAAAAAATCAAAAGGCCTAAAATTATTTCATGGTATTGGAGCATTTTAAATGTGTCCACAGAGTGCTTCAAAAAAGATAATATAATGTGGACTGAAAATCCATGGCGGTAGATCAAGCGAAACATCCGACCCACGACGGGTGTGAAAAACACTGCTTTTCGACGCGGTCTCTTTAAAAATTCATAAGTCGAGAACAAAAAATCCGACGAACTTTCGGTTTGTGTCGACTGCGGTTTTAGAAACGGCGCCATAACATATATTTTTTTCATCGAAATTAAAAATTCGACCCTTTTTGCCTGCACGATTTGAGATGAAACCACCCATATATATATATATAGTTTCTTAATTCTGCTAAGGTTTGAGGCCGTCAAACTGCATGCGAGGCCCGCTACGCCGGAATTCGAAACGAAACTTCTGAAAACTGTTCTAATCTACCACTATTGCTTAGAAGTCCAGGGTTGTGTTTGCTAAATTTTGCATTGTTTATGCCTGTCTGGTTTTCACCAGACAAAAAATTGACGTGGAATATTCTTTCGACCGTTATTGGTAACTCTTTTCAAAACACCACCGGGTAACATATTCGGCCGCCATATTTTGGGCATCGCTTTTAGTGCGAGACTTGTGACTAGAACCCATTTCATATTCAGCATTGACGCAGCATTCGTGTCTAATACATTTAGACTCGCATCCGCGAGAAACAATGACGTAGCTCTCTTGCCCCCTAGACACTTGGCCAAAATAAGGCGGCCTCGAAGACTAGCGGCACCATGGGTTGCACTTTTAAAAAGGCCGCATTCAAGTTTCTATTATTGTCTAAATCTACCAAGGAAATCCAACGCAAACATTTCTTGAGGACAGTTAAACAATTCAAAAGTTGCGAGCGAGTGTGAATAAATAAAGCTGAGAAGAATGGTTTCTTTGGTGCAGCTTGCGAGTGCTATGCTCGTGGTCAGCTTTCAGTGGCATTTTCGACAGGAGGGCGCATGCACAGATATAATCGGCGTTCAAGCACGCGCACCCGTACATCTGACTGCATTGCCATAGGACGTCCACAAAACGCGACGACTTTACCGACGCCGTGCTGGTTGCAAAGTGATACTCGTTCACTTCGTTTGATTATGCTGTTTTGTGTTACATTGAACTCAAATCGAATGGTTTACTTTTTACGCGCGGGGCGTACGCTTTGCTTTTTGATTCGACCTCTTTCAAGCTGAGGTCGCGGTCAAAAACATCGACGCGTATTGAGTAAGTGCAGCCATCTTGAGATCTAAGCGATCACGCTAAGGACGCTGAGGGCAGTCCGCTCTACAACTTGTGAAGCGGAGCGCACGCTCACTCCGCTAACTTTACGCTCCAACTCAGAGCGGGCCACGCATGCGCGGTGGGGACGATGCTTCTCGCAGAGCGTAAAGTAGAGCAAAGACGGCTCATAAAAGTGGCCTACCAATACTCATAGATTACGAACGCGCTCGTCGTGACTTCTCCTGACACTGCCCATATACACCTTTGGCGTATAGAAAAAAGTAACTTTTCACCAGACAGAGCAGCTGTGCTAGAAACAATGGAAACGCAAAATTTAAACAAACCATGCAGGGTCTCACCTGTGAGCACAGCTCTAGTTTCGCCAGGGTCAACCACCTATGTTTGTTCATGTCAGCGAGCAGGTGGCCGAACCTCTCGTTGATGTGACCCACGATGAGGTTCACAGAACTGAAGAACACCGACAAGTTCCGTCCAAACGCTCAACCAAGTACGAACAGACGGTTGGGATAGGCCAGTCGAGGAAGAACCATGCAAAGCGTCTCGCCAGATTGGCAACACCCTGCGCCGATCTGTCGGGTGCCGGTATTTGGAGGCCCGCATGCAGAACAGCCAGGTCCTTCTTTAAGCAGGATAGCTTCCTAAAGGGTTTCTTTTCTGCGTTGGAAATATCCAGAAAACCGCGTTCGGAAAGGAAGCTTCGGCGCTTGATGGCACGAAGGATACGAATCATAGATTCGATGTCTCGCCATCTTAATCTCGTTAGTAGAAGTCTCCTTCCTTGAGAACAGCGGGGATTCATCGTGCAGTTGCCTTGCTAGCCATGAGCAACACTGTACTCGTACTACGCAAAAGGATGTACTCCCAATGCGCAAACTTCGTCCTTTTCTCTTATTTTTCTACTTCGAATAAGTAGATCTGTTTCAGTTTTAATTCGAGTGGAGCAGAAGCTACAAGAGAGAGTGCCGGCCTTTCAGCGTCCTTGATAAGCACGCGCGCTCGTGCAGTGCAAGTACCGTTTAGAGCAACATGCTCATGCTTATACCTTCGGCTTCACTCGCACACAAGGTGGAACGATTATATTTATATTTTATAGCTTAATATTTCTTCAGGTGTGTGCCTACTCTTTTGTGCTCAATATTGTCGCCTTCGTTTTTACTACCTCTGCAATCACGCTCCCTTTAACTCTTTTGGTGTTAACGCTTAGGTTTTTTTGTCTTACTAGTACTATAAACGTCCACTTGTGGGGCTACGCAAGCAAATTTTTCGAACCCGCTCAAAACGCTCTTACGCTGAAGAAAAGCGCTCTACTAAAACGCGTTTTTGGACCTCCGCTTTCCATTCCGGCGAAGCGGGCCGCGCATGCGCAGTTTGGCACCCTCCGAGCGGAGCGGAAGATGAAAACGGTATACTAAAACTCTCTAATAATTCAGCGTCCCCGCTAAATGTAGCGGGAAGAAATGACGGTACGTGACTGGATCTCACCTGACCTCAACACCAATTCAGTTTCCCCGCTAAATTTAGCGGGGGAGATTACGTCACGTGGCTCGATGGTACGAGACTTACACAGGAATTCAGTTTACATCCGCAAAACTTTAGCGGGAAATACGACAAGTGACCGCCCGAGGCTCTTTCAATTATGTATGCAGCTCATCGCCTAATTCGACAACAACATCATTGGTTCTGCCAGAATATTGGCTTCGGTATAATTGATTAAGTGAAGAAATGGAGTCACCGAATAATGTATACGCTTAGAATATCCCCACACCGTTCCCAGAATTCATCGCGGGCGCCGCCATTTTGGTGCTCGGTGCAGAGCGGGCGCCATAGGGGATTGAATCAATTTGAAAATGGCACTTCCTGAGCTTTCGATACTGTGTCGGTAAAGTCGGGAGAGATATCGTTTTACCCTGTCGCGGGGAGGTTTAACACTTTTTGGAGGCTCGGAAAACCGTTTCTTGCAATTTCAAACAAAGGGAAAAAAAAAAAAAAAAGAAATAGCGCGGAGCGTGGCGTATTTAGTGCCTCTAGGGGAAAAAAAAAATGCTCGGAGTAGAGTGCAGTGCAGAATAGCCGCATGATCTTCGGGGAGAGCGACGAGAGTTTTATTAAAAGGAAGACAGAAACAACAATTGTCGTTATACGAATTGAGTCTTTATAGAGCCTATCGTTTATTAGAAAAGTGGGGCATAAAAAAACGGTTGTAATTACAGTCGCAGCTGTTTTAAACCACGACTTAAAAACAACAACAACGTCGCAGCTGTTTTAAGACACAACTTAAAACGAGAAGAACAGCAACAGCAAGAGAAGTGGTGATGAAGCTTCATTGTGGGCTTATAATGCCAGACCATTGCTGAACTGAATGCTAACCGGTCTGCTGCCGGGATCTTTTGTTAGAACGATACTTTTTCGGGCTTTGCTCGAAGCGCTGGACGTAGCATATAAAAATAGAAAGTGAAATATCGCCATAAGTGGCAAGATTTAAATTTAAAGAGATAATTATATTACACGCCCGAAATTATTTTTGTGGCGCACCCATTTTATGTTCCTCGCAATGTTTAGTGGGCGGATATTTTTTTTTCCCCACTAGCCCAGGAATTTTGTTTAGAAAAACAAGTGTACCCTGCGGGATCTTGAAGATTGCAAAAGTAGTACGTAGGATATAGCGAGTGAGTCGGGGCTCACGCTGGATCTTGAAGAGAATCGACTTAAAACAGCACCGTCTAGAATATTCTAAGCCTGCGAACAGCTTTTTCTATTCCCACGTGACGTCGTCACATGCGGATGACGCCAACTCGGCAGGCGGGCCCGAGCCTGACGACCTTCGTTCTTCGACGCATGCATTGAGTCGACACGAGGCAGACCCGAGCGTTCACGCAAACAATCGCGTCCAATTTCCGTTCGGGCTCCACCTCACTTTAATGACGTCTAAATTATAGCGCACGAGTTTTGATTATTCTCGGTTTTTTATTGCTTGAACCTTCGACTACTTGTACTCTTTTCACGGTTGAGCACTTTATTTTCCCTCGGGAGTTATAAAATGGTAGCTCGTCTAATGTAAGTCTAATCAGTGAAAGCCGCGCCGATGGATGGTCGTGCTAGCGCTGTGAAGCTCTGTATATACACATCCCAAATGAAAAATTTGTTCGTTTAGGCAGGTTGTGGCCATATTCTGCCTTAGGATTGGCCAGTGCACTACATTTATTAAACCGTGGACTTTAACGTCAATGACTCAGCAGAGATTAGAGGCGTACACTACATATAAATTTCAATAGTGTATTGCTCCCTGCGGCTATCATAATACGAGTTACCTCCAGGAGACGGTTAACGATTTTGGTCAGCTCGAGTGCAAGGAAATTTGTTTATTTTCCCTAGAGCGAAAGCGGAAGCCTCGATAGAATATAAAATAGTCTTCAAACAAAACGAAAATTGCACCCAATGGTTGCTTGCGGCTTCGACCGCGTCACTGGAAATAGGAATGACGTCAAGTCCGCGTAATCTTGTTGTGGCGAGAGAGAATACCAGGTTTAATGGTTACGAGTTTTCGTTTCTGGTTCGTTTTAAACGCTTTACTTGTAATTTGTTTTCTGACTTTGTTTCGTTTCTTTCAGGCACGTGCACCCGAGGTGTCTGCCCCCGCGGGAACGTGAAGAGAGGTTGATATTCTGCGCAAAGAATCTGGGGACGAAATCTTTGAAATAAAGATCTCAGTGACGTTGTTTTGTTTATTCTTTATGACTAGTACACAATATTTGAGCGCAAATATTTTTTTGTTTATAAATAATTGGAATAAAGACCTGGTCCGACCAGTGAAACTCGGCAGATTGCAGTTATACCACAGTTACATGGACACCGGTAACCGTAGCTGAGTCTAGCTTCAGTTACACTGAGCTGCGGTTAAGAGTGCCCGTGTAATTAGGTCATAAAAGTGTATCGAAAGTGAATATTTTTTTTTCAGTAGATCAACTCAAAAAGAAATATTTTAGTCAGTACTTTGTCCCACCAAGTCAGTAATTGGACATAGTTTTTCTAGACGAATTACTTACTTGTTTCTATAATTAATGTCGCTACTTCTGCCATGGAAGAAGTTTATCGAAGGACATTGATAGGAAAGAAATATACTTTACATCAACAAAATTATTTTTTCTTTAATTTGAAAGGTTACTAATGAATTTTATAATAAGGTATGCGTTCTTGACCAATTAGAACCGAAACCGAAGTAAATATCACAAAAACATTAGTCATGCCAATGAGGACCAGGTAAGATTTTGACTTCAAAATAGATATAAAAGGTATATAACGACTGACTTCATTGCTCATTACTACTTCGAAGCATTTCGCACGATTATGACTAACACAGGTATGAATCAGGATGTAAGTTTGTTTATTGAATACATAGTTAAACCTTTCTTATTGAAGCTCATTTACGAGATGCGAGCTACTGAAGTTTGTGGTAGGTTATATAGATTGCTGTGCAGCACACGCGACTCGGAGGTGTAAAACGAAGCCATCGGTTTCAAGGACAAGAAACTGCATTCACTTGAAAACCGACAATCCTTTTAGTCTCCGACAATGTAAGGAAAAAAAAAATGCCTCGCAAACTGCTAGGCAATAGTGTTGCATACGTGAAACGTTCTACCATCACAAACGTTTAGCGATACTCTGTGTTCCACGTACTCAGGGCGGATAAACCTGGCGATCTTCCAGACCTTTCCATAATCTTGAGTTCCCCTCCCTCAGTGCGCACTGGTGGTCGAGTTCCCACCTTGCCTGCTTCCTTCCTCCTCCCCTACCCTTCTGGTCACGTGACCTCCCCTATTAACCAATCAGCATCGAACTTCGGGGCCACTCTTTTACCTGGCTTCAGGGTATGCTGAGCATCTAGCCAAGGAACGTTCCACGTTAGAACGCAGGACCGTGGGTGGCTACATGTTCAAACTCAAACTTTTTGCTTCGTGGTTCTTTTTTGGCGATCGTATCAGTTAAGGCCGCAATCTCTGGCTGAGAAACGATAACGGTTTGAGGAAAAGTAACCACGCCATGCGTTTTGCAAGCTGCAGCCATTGACCATAACTACTTGACCAGATCGCAGCCACTGAGTATAGGCTTCGCGCCACATCTGTTGTGCATGCGAACACTATATACTTCGTCTCACCTTAAGTCCAGATTCCAGACGAAGCCGACGTGACGAGCAGATGGGACCGATCAGACAGCGTCAAAAGTGCGCCATCAGGCTGTCCCTTGTGTTTTTTTTTTCTGTATACGTCAATACTATTATCGCCGGACCGACCGTCTCCAGAAAAGGCTTGTGAATTCCGATTCTGACGCTACCTGGTTGGTTCCCTTTAACTCGGAGCGTCGGCCGCGTCTGGACTTGGCTGAAACGAAGTATAGCCACGCTATGTGGAGAAAAAGTCGCCTGCTTCTAGCGCAGGAATTGCGGTGACGTCAGAATGACGCCGAGCTCTGATTGGCTTTGATTGAAAGAATAGTGGGTGGACTTTGATGCTAGATGCCTTGAGGTCTACCCACTATTTTGTCTTTCAATCAGCCAATGAGAGCTCTGCGTTCTGACATCCTCGCAACCCCTGCAAGAGAAGCAGACGAACTCGCGCTCTGCTTAGTCCCAGAGAGATTAAGAAACGCAGGGAGTGGTTTGTCACGTTCCCTCCTCTTGCTTTCCTGATTGGTCCTCGGGCGTTCATATCGACCGATGCCGCAACCTGATTGGCTGAGGGGAGATAATGAGATGCTCGCCAAGACCTGCGTTTCACAAGCTGCCGATGACTACGAATAAGCCAAGCTTGGAGTGTCGGCGCTCCGTGTTCCGATTTTTTATTTTTCTGGGGCGCCGCCATTTTGCTGTTTGGTGCAGAGGTATACGCGCAAATGCGATCGTTATGAATTAAATGCGACTTCCTTAGCCAGCACCAACAAGCTCGGGTGATGTCAGCTAGCTTTGCGATTTCAAATAAGGCTTCGAATAACTGGCAAGAATGATTGTAAGCACCAACCTATACTCTGTTCCCCCCTAAGCTGAGACTAAAAAACACCACCTTCAGCGCGAGCTCGGTGTCTTCCGCAGTGTTTTGGTTGCGCTTGCCTGCGCCATCACACTTGTGTTAGCAAGGGCACAAAGCTCGCGCTGAGGGCGAAGGTTCAAGTCTCAGCATAAGGATGAACAGTGTATAGGTGGCGCAAGGTACCACACGTCATAAAGGTTACAGCCATTACAGCATCCGTCCATCCATTCATTCAGCGGCTGAAGGTCCATTTTCTTATGGTGCCTGGATCGCGCCTCCGACTGGAGTGTTTAGCGTCCTATCACGCCCGTACCCCAAAAGTGGTCCCGAAGTGGCAACAAATGACGTCACACAATTCGATGTGTCCTGCTGTCGGAAGTCGCGATCCTGGCGGTTGGTCGTAGAAATGCTGGCGAAAAGCACGAACGAACGCGAGTGTCGCTGTCGTCGCGGCGTCCCAACTTCTGGCTGCGGAAGCTTCCGTGAACTGCCACACTGGAGAGCGACCCGCAGCAGTACAGGCGTCTGCCACATCCACCATTGCTGCTGGGACACCGCCAAGATCGGGACCGGTGACAGAGCATATGGCACTCTTATGACGTCATCAGGCGGAAATCAAAGGACCACTTTTCTAGACGCGGTTAACACATCAGTCAAAGATGAGTACGAGGTACCATAGTTTTTGTGAAGCGTTGCTTATTCGGCGGAGTGACGACCAAGAGCGTTAATGGACGCTCTTGGTCGCCTCTCGGTCAAAGCACATGGCAGGCTGGTCCTGGCGTCGGGCAACATGGCCGGCCCGTAACATGGCAGCCGTGAAGGAGCAGAAGACACCATGGGTACCGAGGAAAACCGAACATTAAAGGACGGGACTGTAAGGTTGTGTTTCTAAACCCCATTTATTTTCGTTTCAAGTGGTTCCATGTTATATTAAGCGGCGGAGTGCCAAAGAACGAAACTGGCTCGGACCAACGGGCTTTGCTCGAAGATGCGCCTGGTGCCCGGTGTCATGCGCTTGCTAACTAAAGCGGGGGCCATCTGGAACCTGGCGACCGTTCGTGTGAATTATGACCGGGGCGCGGGGCTGGCCTCGCCTCACCACAGCGACCCTTCCGCGGCTCCCAGGACCCCACCTGCGAGGAAACGGGACCTTGTCAGCGTATTCCTGGGAAACGCATTTGCCACTTGCTTTGGTTCTGTTGTCGCTAGTTTCGCTTTCAGGAGTTTGCTTTGGCTTTGTTGTCGCCTGCTTCGCTTTTAGAAGTTTACTTTGGTTTTAGTTGTCGCGTGCTTCGGTTTGAGAGGTTTGCTTAAAGTTAGTTTTAATCGATGCCTTGTTATTTTAGTATTTCAAAAATGTTGTGAATTTTGGAATTTGGGAAAGTTTGGTGCACAGAAATTCGCCGAATTTATTCGATATGGCATGCAATCGTTACCAGGGATATAATCACGTGGCACAATTTCGCCAAAAGTTTCCGCGACATTTTCGAAAATTAGGTTCTTGGAAAAATTGAGTGACTTACGGCTCCGTAATCTATGTAGTCAGTGCAACACTATCTAAAGCCATACATACGAGCCCGAGTTTTTCCATGCAACTGTAATTTTTTTACAAGAAATCTGTGCGAAGTAATTAGGGGTGACCCGAATTTATACGATGACAGATCAGCCAAGATTTTCGGGAAGCCAAGTGATCTAAGACCGGTTGATTAATTTACAAAGGACTCAGTATGTGCTGGGTGAGGCCGTGAGGACTAGCACATTTGACAAGCCCGGAAAAATTCGAATTCTAATCGTACATACCTGAAACCGTGAACGAGAACGACGCTTTGTAACTCATTTTATCGATAAGGTTTGTGGGGCTCAAACCAGAGCTAGTAAAATATTAAAACAGAGCAAAAACGGCGACCGTGCATTTACCATGTCCCATATGCGGGATGTTCGTCATCTGCACACTGCATGGTTTGCGAGTTCGCTCCCAGCTTGTCACTGCGGTTATCCTGCTGGGCGCCAGCCTCTCTTAGGCATTCTCATCTGTTTCTGCATTCAGCGAGCCACCAGAGAGCGAGCTCGCAAACCATCAGTGAGTGGACGACGAACAGGCTTGGACGGAAAACACACATCCGCTGTTTCCCTTTTTTATTTTAATATTTCAGAACCTCTGAGACGAGCTTTAAGAAAATTGACATATAGCACTTCTTGCGATTAAACGAAGATCGTGTTCCCAGTTTCAAATATATGTACGTCTTGCAATGCGAATTTCGTTATGCGTGCCAAGTGTGCTATAGTCCTTAAGGCAAGTCCCTGTACGCAAGGCAAAAAATAGTTTCCCAGGACAACCTTTATTTACGTAAATTCAATGTAACGACCGTAACATGCTAGAAATTCGCTGTTTCTTGCTGAAGTAAAATGTAGAGTATTAACCCCGTTTAAGCAAACAAACTGGTGATGGCATCTATACGGACACTGACTGCGTAGGTGACGGAGCAATGGCGCGGCAAGTCCCGAACATTTTAATATTACTTCACACTCAATGATATCGCAATATGTGTCAATAAGAAGACCACAGAACGAATAAAGAAGGAAGACGTGTTAACATTATAAGCCACGGTCTGCGTTTCCGAACTTATCAGGGGCTCTAGTTTCACTTATTCTGAAGAGCACGTACATACTCCCCTTGTTTGCCCCCGACCGAATTGAAAGGATTTTTGGTTTTCCCCGTTGCATCATTTTAATGAATGAATAAACATGTGCAGAGCGTAATACTGGAAACCTCGAAACTAGCAATCGCCATATTTCTTTTCAGTTTTTTTTTCTTCATTTTTTTTTTTATTCCAGTAGAACAACAAAACAAAAAAGTCGAAACTGACAGTATGCTTATAAAACTCCCTTTCTTTCTTGGACCTAGATTTCATCTTGAACAGTCAACGAAGAAACCTATATGAGATGTAAATAAGTATCATGACCCGGCGTCGTATAGTATTTGAAAATAATGCATCTTATAGGAAGAAAACGCAGGCGTTCTCTAATCAATAATGAAAGCAGGTGCAATCAAAAGAATCAGCAAACTTACAAAAAAAAGTGAAAAGTGACCTTGATACTAAGAAGAAAAAAGAAGAGTGTGAACAAAAAAGTGATAGCAAACATTGCGGAACATATAAACGGAAGTAAAACTATAAAATGTGCAGTGGCAAGCAATATGAGCTGTAGAATATGCAAACGGCCACCTGGCAGTACAAACTACGCTGTCGCACGGCTGCCGTGCGTGCGGCGAGGGTGAGGAGGTAAATGTGTAGACACAGTTAAACATTTCCACTGCCGTTCTAACCTTCCTCTCGCTGCCTGCTAAACCGAGTGGTCGGTACTGCCTGGTCACCGTTTGCGCATTCTCCTGTCGTTAGCCGCTGTGTATCTCGAACGATTAAAAAAAGAAAAAGAAATCGTCGAGCAACTTTAGGTTGCTGCGCTGGATTCGCTGAGGCAAGCATTGCTTGAGCTGTGAAAAAATAACGAGATATTGTTCTATTTTATCTCTAAAAAATAAATTGCCTCTGCGGAAATCGTGCTTAGGATCACCGCATAAACTGCTTCGGCGAATGAGTCCTTTTTTTTTTTATTGTGGGAGACTGTACGGGATACATGTGGTGCGTGCGCGGTTATCGTGTTTGACATGCTACGGCTGTGCGGAAATATACGCATAAATTAGACAGCGAAGTAATTTGGTCTGCGATTTCTGACTATTTTTTTTTGGCTAACCTGACGGACGAGATAGAAAAATGCTAACTCGTCATGCGGTGTCAGCTTCCTGTCATCATAACCCTCTGCAAACGATACCAAACAAGATATCTATAAATAAAAAAACTGCATTTAAAGTTTGTTCTTTTTTTTAGCAGGTGCTTTGTTTGACTTTCTTTACACACAATCTTTCTGTATTTATGTATTTTGAATACGTAGCATACGTGAAGAAATATATTTATCCGTGTGGTCGTAGCTTAGGTCGTTTAGGCGTACATCTCCGATGCCTCTTTTGCACCCCCCTCTGCGATTTGCACTTTGAATACCTAGATATAAAGAAACCTTTGGCACGTTTGTACTAACCTTCAGTCTTGGATTCATAAACTACTCAAGTAAGCTCAAAGTAAGATAACAAGAAAAAGAACAAAACGCTTCAACGACTCATAGTCCACGCGCGACAAACCATAGTACGGTGGAAATCTTCTTATAAAACAACACGAGAATGGTTTTTAGGTGAGAAGGCTTCTGTGCATTGCTACTAATCGCACATAAAAAACACGGAGATGAAAGCCCCAAGCGCAGCGCTTGCTTTGACCGTTGTCGTGACAGCGCTGGTGGCCCATGTTGGAGCCCAATATGACGATAGCGACTATCGTGATAACTATGAGGACTGTGACGATGACGATGACAACTGTGACGTAAGTTTTTTTTCTTCCTATTTTGTCACCTTAATTGCCATAATAGTGGTTCGCTTGGTTCGCTTGGTGCGGTTTTTATCTTAGTTTGCAGGCAAGCCTTGTTTTAAAGTAGCATTCGCCCCCTGCATAAATATACAGCACACACTGCTGAAAAACATATCAGACGCATCGTGGTACCGACTTTGTGACTTCGCTTGATCTTAAGAAACTGATCACCATACAAGACGCTTGCAATCGATGCCACAGATGATTGCTCGGATTACGAGACAAGCTGATGGCGTTTCGTGAGCGTACAAAAGTTAAATATGTTCACCCTATTGCTTGAAATTTTGTCGATATAGGCAGAGCTGGGCACCATTTCGGTCCCTAGCTCTGTCTAAAAGTGAGTGGCATCAGTAGAAAACTTTTATAGGGATTGAAATTCGTTGTTGTTGCATGTCTCATCGAGGTGATCTCAATGTTTTCGTACGTGATTATGTGACTGCAACCGTAACAACGTATCGTATTAAAATAATGTTGTTTCATTTGACTAGGGTATTTGGGGAGGGGATATGCTTTCGAATACGTATATGATCTCCTCGCAAGTTTAATCTTAAATCGAGATATGTTTTATATCTACAGGAATATTACAGTTCTTGTACATGCCGTCATCAAGACCTGTCGGTGGTCGTTCTGTACTTGTTCTTTGCAAGCAAAAGCGAATTCGGTAGCGTGGAATGTATGACGCAGGAGTTACACACTCAGTGGAGCTGGCACCACCATGGCCGGTGACGTAACGTCAACGAAAGCCATGCATAGCCTCGAGGTAGCAGTATATATCTTACCTGTCCTGCCCTAACCCCTATACTCAACTGCAGTAAAGGGGGCCGACCAAACGTTCCACCCGTAACCACTGAATTCCTAAGCTACATGTAAGAGTAACGGAACGGCACTTCAGCCATCTTGGTGCCTACAACCACTGTTGCCAGAATTATCTCAAGCTTTATTGTAAATCAGACAAAAAGATCTCCGTCCTCAAGGAATGTTAAAGCAGACCGCTACCGCTTAGCTGCCTGACACAATAACTGAAACTTAAAAAGTAGTATTTTTCTATAACAATGCTTTCCAATGGCACTTACTCTGGACCTTACATCGTACTCTGGACTGAGCAAAGAGATGTTGGCGCCCACAAGAAAATTGGAAAAATCTCGCTAATTTCTGGTGTTTTGCAGTTACAGAAGACAACCTACCCCGGCGGTAATCCTCCCCTTCTGAAGGGAATAGGCGAGATATGCGGCGCTTACAGCGAGTGCCAGGATCACCTGTGCTGTTTGCAGTCATACGACGGCAGAACCACTTGTCAGCCTAAATCGGAACCCGGTCACTGGTGTTCGGATGAACAAGTCAAGGACGGAGTAAATATAAATCTGTGTCCATGCCTACAAGGTGATGCTTCCTTCTTATCTCTTGCGTTGTTGTCTCGACTAGTCACTAACTTAGCTTCACTTAAAGGTATACGTAGGTTCCGCCATCTTGGTGATTACATTCATGATTGCCAGTCGTCTGAATTTTTATCTGAAATCGCAGAGAACGAATTCTCGTCCATCAGGAATGTTAAGGCAGCCTGTGACATAGCAGGAGTATTGGTGGAACTTCCTGACACCGTGTCTACGCTTAAGAAGCTTAATGGCTGGATGGATGAATGTTAATGGCCATACCCTTTGTAACGGGCGGTAGCTTGCGCCACCTAGCCTAAGCATAAAAACAAACATATTTTAATCGTGGTGGTTGCCAACTGCACCGGGCCGCTCTTCGCTAGTTACAGGTGGCGACCGAATTTTGGAGCCGGGTGGCGAAACCCGCTCGTCGCTGTCGAAAACTCTGGGTCGGTCCTCGAGAGCCATATCCAGATTTTGCTCCAGTGACGAGTCGACTTCGCTATCCGGCTCCAAAATCCACTCATTGTCAGCGCGATTTTGGCCGCAAATCCGCAAGTGTAAATGCTCTGTTCTCCAGGAAAGCGAACTTGGAGGCCTTCTTTAGTGGTTTGTTGTTCTCTGTTAAAAAGGAACACTTCAGCCAGCTCACAGCGAAAGATAACCTAGACTTCTCGGGGTCGAGAGTCGCTAAGCCTGTGTGTTGAACGGCTCAAACGTACGCAGGCTATTACGGGAAGGTTCTCCTCAAGCTTTGACTTATACCGGGTCTGTGAGAGAAGGGAAAAACCGGCTTTTTCTTCGACCCGCATACATAAGCAAGGCTTTGCAGAAACCTGAAACGCCTTGAGACTGCGACTTTGGTGGTGGTAATGAAATGAGAATATTCAATATCATATTATTACCTGAAAAAAAAAAAAAACCTCTTGCATGCGCCGACATTTACCTAATTTTAATACCCGTCAAACCAGGGAATGTCGTCCTGGGTACCTTTATAATTAATTTGACATAAAAAAAATCGCGTAAGCAAGATAGAAAACTACTTTGCCTTGTCGACGAGAGTTTTACTCAAATAAATGCCACAGGCGCCCACAGTGGCGTTTTTTGGTTTGAAAATGTTAGGCTTAGGTAGATGGCGATTCATTTTTTTTTTATTTATGCTCCAAGTGATATTGCTTGACCCTAAATACAAGGACGTCTTGTGATCGCACATGCAAGTCGGACACTGTAAATATTGCACTGCCTTTTTTTTTCGGGGAAGTTTATTTTACGACGTGCGTGTCCTAAGCACAAAAAAAAACAAACAAAAAAAAATATATATATATATATATATATATACTAGGAAAGGGGATGGGAGGTAAGAGAATTTAATGTTCTTTCAAATAGCATTGTTCGTCTAGATATCTGTCACATTTTTTGTTATTTATTTTTGTTCGTTTTTTGTTTTTCAGGTACGTGCAAGGATAACATCTGCTCCCTTTGAGGCTTGAATGAACGTCGAGATCCCCATGGAAAATATTTTAAGGCGTTCCATGTTTGTCCTGAGGAATCAAGAGGTGTTATTCTTACAAGAAATTTTAATTTAAACGCCTGTCACAAGTCCGACGCTAATAAAATCCTTGGTATATTATATCTTCTCTATTCATTTTTTTTTTCTTGAGGGGGGGGGGGGGGCAGCAAGTCAATATATATATTGCGAGGTTTGCCTATATGAATCTACGTTAAACTATGTTGTTCCTGGAAATAAAATAAAAAGCCTACGTTTCTCAGGTGTTGGTTGCTGGTAATTAATATTGTATATTTTTCAGCTTTAATTCATCTGATGAATATAATAATGTATGTAGTTGTTTGAAAGGAATTAATTTTTTGACGTTTTCCTGAGAAGTGAATGCCCAGAATATTATCAATTAGCGCAAAAATAAAAGGGAAGGATGCAAAACCATACGTGCAAAAACATTTTTTTTTTCAATTTTGGAGACTGACGGAGATACCTGAAAATTTGCATTTGTCATGTGAACTCTATACAAGATGTAAAAAATAAAAACACATCTTGACCAGTGTAATAATTTGTCGACTTGAAGAATCACTTCAAATGAAATCGCTTTTTTTTTTTCTTTTGGGGTTAACTACACAGCGCAATATTAGTTTTTGTTCAGTTTTTGTTCGCGTCTCGCCTTACCAAAGTAATAATCAGGCACATCGATTTTTATAATTTTTTTTTCTAATTTCTCAAAACGATCCTGCTAACCAAAACAAAAACGCCTATATTTATAGAAACCGGGTTACACAATTAATTCAAAAATGCTCCTGAAAAAAAAAAAAAGTTTCACGGGCTTCGTAAGGGAAGCTATGCATACTGTTGCTGAGAAGATTGCATATGATGACTAACAGAAATCAGGATGTTCGTTCCGTACTGTGTAAACTGTTGATGCTTTTTATTGGTCCAACATAGATTAAGAAGCGTGGTCTAATAGACGTCTGCGATAGACAGTATACGGATATTAATAGGAATGAAGGCATCTTAAGAGGGCGCGGTACCGCTATTTATTCGTCCGTTTCAGCCACCAGATGGCGCGCGGCTCGTGACGTGGTTGAACGCGCAACTTCTAGATGGCGGCAGCATCGAAGTGTGAAAAGGCCCCGTTATCCGCTGCGTGAAGTAGATCGCCGAAATGTGTCGTATTCTCCCGGTGGAGGAAGTTTCTCCCTCCCTCGCGCGCGCTAGGTATGTCGGCGGTCAGTCAGCTCAGTGTGCATGGCATCGGACGTCAGTGATAATACGCGCGGTGGCCGAGTCCAGTCTCTGCGCTGTGTGATGCCGTGGGTGGAGCTCGTTTCTGTTCGGAGGTAGGAACAAAAATGTCGGTCCCCCTTTTTACGACACTCGTTTCTATAGCTTGAATTTTTTTTTTTTTTATCTCAAGTGACATACAGTACCGCCTTTTTGAAATCGTCCTTTGCGGCGAGCGATTGAGAGTCAGGTTAGCATTTAATTTTGGTCAGCACTACACGTTCAATAAAGACCTCGGGCGGTGATGTAAACATGCATTGCTCCCCAGAGTCTGTCCAAGCTGCTCAGTGACAGTTGGAAATGATATTGAAGGCGCGCGACCGTCGGTTAGTAAAATACGTACGTTAGATTCACTTATTCAGTCTAATCATTTTTGCCAACGTCTTTTATCTGTTTCGACAAATGACATGGTCCAGTCTATTGATAATCCTAGCTAGATTGGACGTACGGAGTGTCCGGGCTTTAAAAAAATTGCTTCGTCGTACGGAATGTCCGTGCTCTAAAAAAAAAAAAAAATTTGCTTCATTTATTTGAATGAATAACTGTTTTCTCTTTCCCGTGCTCGGTGCTATGCGAAAATTGCTTAGATGTTATGGTAGCGTAGTGTGGCGGCGTTTTGCACGCTACCTTTTTATTGCATTCACTGTGCACAGTATGTGTTCAGATGGAATGTGTCAAATCGTATTTCCGATCGATATGATGGATTTATTTTGCTACAGTGTTAATTATATTTTCCTGATTTAAACTGGTCCGTCCCTGATCTAAGCTAAGTTCAAATTGGAGGGTGCAGCCAGACTTAGCGTCGTAACAGCCGTAATGCGAAGAAAGAAATTAGTACCATGAAAGAAAAACGAAAGGATACGAGGCGGCTCGGTGTTATAGAAGTAATGGGTGTACGAATGATGCCATCGTACGCTTTTTTTCTTGCTGAACGCTCCGCATCCGCAAGGTACCAGGAGCTCCTAAACGGAATCGGAGATCGTCCATTTATGCTGAAAACTCCATCCACGGGCTCTAAGCATCCGCCGCCGTCAGACGACTTTTTCAAGCAACAATTTCTGTTTTACGTCTCCTAGAGCCAAAGTGTTCACAGTTTCGGCCAAAAATTCACAACGCCGTCCGAAAATAACAATAAGTAATAACCTTAGAAATTTCCATGATTTTTTTTCCATTGGTCAAGTTTTATCGAGGTAATAAAAAACCGAAAAGAAAAAAATTGTGTCCGTGTATTTCTATTGCTGTGAGTATACTATTACGCTATTCTATTGAATAAATCCCAGCAAATGATTACTATCAAAAACAAGCTTCTAAAAAAGTACTTCAGTGCTCCGTTAAAGAATGGCGCGAAAAACATATAATTCTCTACATCTTTCCGAAATGTTTCCTCACATCTTGCTAGCCATGGACCATTTGCTATATTACCCGAGCATCAAGGAGAATCAAGGCCAAGGCCCATGTTTGCCAAGCTGTCGATGACTACGAATAAGCCACGCTTAGAGTTTTGCAGTCCGTCCCACGATTTTCTTATTTTTTGGGGAGCCGCCATTTTGCTGTTTGGTGCAGAGGTATAGGCGGAAATACGGTAGTTATAAATAACTAAATGCGACTTACTTAGCTTTCGATCCAGCGTCAAGAAGCTCGGGTGATGTCGGCTTCCACTGCGATTTCAAATAAGGCTTCGAATTACTGGCAACAAGAATTTTTGAGCACTCAGTTCTAATCAAAAAAATTTCGGTGCTTATTCTTTTGGTCTATACTCTATATGGTGTTCAATGGAGCAGTATCACATCGAGCACACCAAAATCTTGATGAAAAAGTCTCGAAAAGGAATTTTAAAACAAATTAAACGATTAGCAAAGAGCACCTGGGGGATGCCGCTAAGGCCTCGTATGTAGTGCCCGTCTAGGAACCTCGAGAGGTGGTGACGATAACTGTCTCGCCCGGAACTATACATGCTTTGAACTTGACGTCATCGCGACAGCTCCACGGCCAGCACAAGATAGAGGGGAGAGAGGAACTCCCCACTCAACGGGACTCTTTCGTGCGAGTCCCAGACGTCACGACTTTACATCTGACGGAACCCAAAATATTACCCTAAGGTTTCGAGTTACGTCCGACGGAAATAAGTTACGGCCTGTGTAACCTATTATTGAATGTTACGCTTTGTGGGCGAAACACGACGTAAACATAAAAATATATATAATTAATTTTTCATCACGTCCGATGTAGCGTTGGTAAATCGGTCAAAATCGTGGCTCTATTTGTACCTCCAGGTTTGTTGAAGGGATTGGAGTGTGTTCCTCCTATGTAGAGGCTGCGTAGGCCTGGTGGGTCACGTACGTTTTTTTATCTTTTTTTTTCTTTCTTTTTGGCGATCTTTTTCTTATTTAAGAGGATTTTTTTTGCTTTGTTTTTAGATATGAAATTACTTCTTCCTAGACGCGACACACAAAAGAAAAGAAAAACATTAACAAAATGGAAACCGCAGCACGCGTGCTGCGAGCATGAGACTGTTGAGACCCTGAGATAACAGTCTTGAGGTGTTGGTTCGTACGACAGATTGAGGGCCCGTAGTCTTGTTTAAAGCGTCGAAAGCCCCTATATGTGCCGTGATCTCGAAAAATCGCGTTGCTCGTATTTTAGACACTTTGGATGCTATAACACGCCTTCACGGGTGGCGAGAAAGTTAGCCACTGCAGTACAACCGCTAACCAGTGCGGTCTTTAACGTGCACCACGCAGTATTAGTTACACGAACACGTGCCGATACCACGACCTACGCCGGTACGAAACTCATCCAGGTCGAAACGGGCAGAGGGTGGGGGTAACTTTATTTTTTATTTCGAGTTCCGTCAGACGTAACTTTATTTTTCCGAAACCTTGGGGTAAAGTTACGTCGGACGTAACTTTAATTTTTATTTGGAGTTCCGTCGGACGTAACTTTAATTTACATATTGGGTTACGTCGGACGGAACTCGAATCCTTACGTAAAGTTACGTCGGACGTAATTTTAATTTTTATTTCGGGTTCCGTCGGTCGTCGGACGCAACGCTAGACACTGCGATGTTCGCATCCGCTCATGCACGACGGGGTCATTATCATATAGTGACAGGACTGGCATATAATCAATATATAAGCGCCACCGGAATGCTGGCGAGCCTTGAGCACACTCTTTATTCCTTTCGATTGTAATTTTGCTTCGAATCGTCGCTTGTTTTTACACACCTGCTGCGGAACACGCATTTTGGGACTGAAATGTAGCGAAGTTAAACATCGTTCACTGGCGAAGAAAAATGCGCTAACTAAAGCAATTACACTTTTAAAATGTTAATAAAGTTGGATACTATTCGGTACGACCGAAATAAGCAATGTGTTTCCTGTTATTTTCCGGCGAAAAGACAAAATGCACGCGCGTTTTCCCATAGGAATGCACAGGAGCGCCGCAAAAGTAGGCTGGTTGCTGTCTGCTGCAATTTGCCTACCGGAAGTCGCATGGACACTAGCGCCAGTTGAACCTTTAGCGTACATTATAATAACTCTATGGCGCGAACGGAGGACGGCGAGCGGGGGCGCGCGTGCAGCGCGAGGGTTCATAAATAAAGGAGTTCCGTTTTTGTGAGTGCCTTTGTTCCGACCTGCAACAGAACGGGTGTCTGCCACATTTATCATTGCTGCTGGGACACCGCCAAGATCGAGACCGGTGACGGCATATGCCACTCTTAAAGGCGTCATCAGGTTGAAATGGAGGTGCCACATTTTTGGACGCGATAAATATACCAATCGAAGACGAGTTCGAGGCACCGTAGTTTTTCTGAAGCGTTGCTTATTCAGGATAGTG